GTCTGCTCCCGACGGCGTCAGACGTGCCAGGAACCCACCAAGATGACCGAAGTTGGCTCGAAGCTGGCCCAAGACGGCCCAAGAGGCCTCCAAGAGGACCTCCAGGAAGGCCAGAAGAGGCCAACAACATTGATATTCCTTAAGTTTTGACATATTTTGGCATTTGCTTCTTTTCGGCCTTCCGACGGCCCGAGACGGCCCAAGAGCCCCCAAGGATCGCCGAAAGATCGCCCAAGAGGCCTCCAAGATGGCCCCAGAACGGCCCAAGAGGGCCCCAAGACGGCCCCAACAGGCCCCCAAGACGGCACAGGAGGCCTCCAAGACGCCCAAGATGGCCTCCAAGACGGCCCTGGAGCATTCCAACAGGGCCCCAAGTCGGCCCAGAGAGGCCCCCCAAACGGCTTCCGACGGCGTCGGACGGGCCAGGGGCCCACCAAGACGGCCGAAGATGGCACTAAGATGGCCCAAGACGGCCCAAGAGGCCTCCAAGCGGGCCTCCAGGAAGGCCCGAAGAGGCCCACTCATTGATGTCCCACGAATGTTTGAAGGATTGTGACATTTGCTTTTATTCTGCCTTCCGACGGCCCGAGACGGCCGAAGTGCCCCAAACGATCGTCCAAGAGGCTCAAGACACGGCCCCAAGAGGCCCCTTAGACGGCCCAAGAGGTCTCCAAGACGCTCAAGATGGACTCAAAGACGGCCCAAGAGGCCTCCAAGAGGGCCTCCAGGAAGGCCCGAAAAGGCCACAATCATGGATTTCCTATTGGTTTTTGAAGGATTGTTGCATTTGTGTTGTTTCTGCCTTCCGACGGCCCGAGACGGCCCAAGTACCCCCACAGATCGCCTAAAGGCCCAAAACACGGCCCCGAGAGGCCCCCGAGACGGCCCAAGAGGTCTCCAAGACGCTCAAGATGTCCTCCAAGAAGGCCCGAAACGGTAAAAATGGCCTCTAGACGGCCAAGATGACCTTCAAGATGCCCACGTGTTCCCCGAAGGCTTTCCAAATCGATTCGGGGAACACATGGTCCGATAGCTTGGCAGGTCTGGCCTCAACGTTCGGCCACATAGGCGCTTCCAAAAAGCCAGGGGGCGGCGGTGATTCGCCGTAGGCGTCTTCGACCCGCCGCCCCCTGTCGATTCATCGCAGGGGTGCTTGGCGTGCTGGACTTCTTACGGTTTGGTTTTGGTTGTTTTTCCAAAAGAAGTCCCCCTGGCGCTTCGGCCCGTCCCGCCGGGGTCCCGGGAAGGATCTCCAGGCGCGCAAACGACCTCAACGTCCACAACACATTCTCCAAGACGGCTCAAGATGGCCTCCAAGATGCCTCCAAGATGGCCAAGATAGCCCCAAGATGCCTTCAAGACAGCCCAAGATGCACTCAAGACAGCCCAAGATAGCCTCAAGATGGCCCAAGACGGTCGAAGAGGGCTCTAAGAGGCCTCCAACACGGCCCAAGAGGCCTCCAATAGGTCCTCCAGGAGGGCCCGAAGAGGCCTAAATCATTGATTGTCCTTAGGTTTTTGACGGATTGTCGCATTCGCTTCTTCTCTGCTTTCCGACGACCCAAGACGGCCCAACAGGCCCCCGAGATCGCCCTCACAGCGCCCAAGAGACCTCCAAGATGACCTCAGAACGGCCCAAGAGGCCCCCAAGACGGCTCCAAGAGGGCATAAAGACGACCCAAGAGGCCTCCAACACGCCCAAGATGGCCTCCGAGACGGCCCTGGAGCATTCCAAGAGGGCCCCAAGTCGGCCCAGAGAGGCCCCCAAGACGGCTCCCGACGGCGTCAGATGGGCCAGGGGCCCATCAAGACGGCCGAAGATGGCACTAACATGACCCAAGACGGCCCAAGAGGCCTCCAAGAGGGCCTCCAGGAAGACCAGAAAAGGCAACAAACACTGATTTTCCGTAGGTTTTCGAAGGATGTTGACACTTGCTTCGTTTCGGCCTTCCGACGGCTCGAGACGGCCCAAGAGCCCCCAAAGATCGCCCCAAGATCGCCCAAAGAGGTCTCCATGATGGCCCCCAAACGGCCCAACAAGCCCCCAAGACGGCCCCAAGAGGGCCCCAAGACGGCCCAATAGGCGCCCAAGACGCCCAAGATGGCCTTCAAGACGGCCCTGGAGCACCCCAAGAGGGCCCCAAGTCGGCCCAGAGAGGCCCCCCAAACGGCTTCCGACGGCGTCAGACGGGCCAGAAGCCCACCAAGACGGCCGAAGATGGCACTAAGATGGCCCAAGACGGCCCAAGAGGCCTCCAAGAGGGCCTCCAGGAAGGTCCGAAAAGGCCCAGCTCATAGATATCCCATGAGTTTTTGAAGGATTGTGACATTTGCATGTTTTCCGGTCTGACGGCCCGAGACGGCCCCCAAAGATCGCCCAAGAGGCCCAAGACGGCCCCAAGAGGCCCACACGACGGCCGAAGAGGCCTCCAAGACGCTCAAGATGGCCTCCAAGACGGCCTCCTAGAAGGCCAGAAAGGGTCAAAATTGCCTCCAGGCGGCCAAGATGACCTTCAAGATGCCCACTTGTTCCCCGAAGGCTTTCCAAACCGATTCGGGGAACACATGGTCCGATAGCTTGGCAGGTCTGGCCTCAACGTTCGGCCACATAGGCGCTTCCACAAAGGCAGGGGGCGGCGGTGATTCGCCGTAGGCGGCTTCGACCCGCCGCCCCCTGTCGATTCATCGCAGGGGTGCTTGGCGTGCTGGACTTCTTACGGTTTGGTTTTGGTTGTTTTTCCAAAAGAACTCCCCCTGGCGCTTCGGCCCGTCCCGCCGGGGTCCCGGGAAGGATCTCCAGGCGCGCAAACGACCTCAACATCTACAACACATTCTCCAAGACGGCTCAAGATGGCCTCCAAGATGCCTCCAAGATGGCCCCAAGATGCCTCCAAGATGGCCCAAGATGCACTCAAGACAGCCCAAGATAGCCTCAAGATGGCCCAAGACGGTCGAAGAGGGCTCTAAGAGGCCTCCAACACGGCCCAAGAGGCCTCCAATAGGTCCTCCAGGAGGGCCCGAAGAGGCCTAAATCATTGATTGTCCTTAGGTTTTTGACGGATTGTCGCATTCGCTTCTTCTCTGCTTTCCGACGACCCAAGACGGCCCAACAGGCCCCCGAGATCGCCCTCACAGCGCCCAAGAGACCTCCAAGATGACCTCAGAACGGCCCAAGAGGCCCCCAAGACGGCTCCAAGAGGGCATAAAGACGACCCAAGAGGCCTCCGAGACGCCCTCTGTGGTCTTGCCACAGGGGTGCCTGGCGTGCTAGATTATACTGGTTTGGTTTTGTGTCTATTTACGCTCCGGCCCAGCGCGTCGGCCACGCGGAAAGGCTCACCATTCGCCGAACAAAAAACCCAATCGCCTCCACGACGGCTCAGGTGGCTCAACATGGCCTCCACCTTCGCCCAAGATGATCCAAGATGGCCTCCAAGACGGCCTAGGAGGGTCCGAGATGCCTCCAAGTCCTCCCAAGACGCTTCCAAGACGATCCACGATGGCCTCAAGACGGCCCAGGACGGCCCAAGAGGCCCCCAAGAGGCCTCCAAGACGGCCCAAGAGGCCTCCAAGAGAGCCTCCAGGAATGCCCGAAGAGACCAGCATCATTGATTTTCCTATTGTGTTTAAAGGATTTGGGCATTTGCATCTTTTCGGCCTTACGACGGCCCGAGACGGCCGAAGAGCCCCCAAAGATCGTCCAAAGATCTCCCAAGAGACCTCCAAGATCGCCCCAGAACGGCCCAAGAGGCCCCGAAGACGGCCCCAAGAGAGCCCCAAGACGCCCCCAGAGGCCTCCAAGACGCCCAATATGGCCTCCAAGACGGCCCTGGAACACCCCAAGTGGACCCCAAGTCGACCCAGAGAGGCCCCCAAGGCAGCTTCCGACGGCGTCAGACGGGCCAGAAGTCCACCAAGACGGCCCAAGATGGCTCCAAGATGGTCCAAGACGGCCCTTGAGGCCCCCAAGAGGTCTCCAAGACGGCCCCAGAGGCCTTCAAGAGGACCTCCAGGAAGGCCCGACGAGGAAAAAATAATTGATTACCCGTAGGTTTTTGAAGGACGTTGGCATTTGCTTCTTTTCGGACGTCCAGGAAGGCCCGAGACGGCCCAAGAGCCCCCAAAGATCGCCCCAAGATCGCCCAAAGAGGTCTCCATGATGGCCCCCAAACGGCCCAACAAGCCCCCAAGACGGCCCAAAGAGGGCCCCAAGACGGCCCAACAGGCCTCCAAGACGCCCAATATGGCCTTCAAGACAGAGAGACCCCCAAGACGGATTCCGACGGTGTCAGACGGGCCAGGAATCCCCTAAGACGACCAAACAGGCCCCCGAGAAGTCCCCAACGGCCCCCAAGAGGCCCAAGGAGGCCCAAGGAGGCCCTCAAGATGCCTCCAAGAGGCTCCCAGGAAGCTCCCAGGAGGGCCGAAGAGTGCCCCCATAGGCTCCCAAGATGCCTCCTCCTCCTCCTCCTCCTGATCTTCCCCGCCATCCTCCCCCAAGTGTCCCCAGAGGGTTTTCACAACGGTTGGGGAAACACGTAGTCCGATAGCTTGGCAGAGCTCTTGCCACAACGCTCGGCCACATGGGCGATTCCAAAAGGCAGGGGGCGGCGGTGATTCGCCGTAGGCGTGTTCGATATTAGACTCTAAAGCTGGCACTAAGAAGAAATATGCTACCTTCCTGTGAGAGACGCGCACACTCGAAGGAGACGGCGCTGCCTCGGACGCCCAACTGATGCTGGGGACAGCTACTTTGATATCCCTGCTACCTTTTCTTGCACATCCCCACAGCACGAATCATGCATCGCAGAGCACCGGCGTCCAGGAGCAACTGGGCATTCTCTGCAACGACTGCAGGAATCTCGCTCACGAGCAAGCCACTGACAAGAGGGCAGGGGGGGTACCATATCCCCCCTCCCTCCCCGCCCCCACGCATGCGACAATGTTATACTTGGCGATGACAGAATGAGTCCCGTCCCATTTTTCAGAGCCCATCCTGCCTGAACCATAGGGTCTCCCGGCAGTCGGAAGTGAAGGATTTGGCCTTGTTTGCCAAATTCGTCCTTTACCTCCTGGCGCAGTGCGGGAAGTGTATGGCGAAACGTTGGATCGCATGAGCAGATTTGTGGAGAGCAGTAGAGGGTCAGCAGCGGCAGCTATCTACAAGATGAGAAACTACGTCTGACCGCCACTCGAAAGCAGAATATCAGATGGCAATATGAACATTCTTTGTCTAACGCCTGTCGGCAATGAGAGAGTCGCGAAGAGCGATGGACAGGTCGACAAAAACAGGGACGGACCAGAGAAGGGACAGCGACGAACTGCCACTGGAAAAGATGGGGCACGACTGTAGAAGGCGGAATGGGGCGGGACACTACATGACACGTCGATTGTGAGGCCGGGGACACCGGGCTGCGCGGCACAGGCTTCAAAGCCCCTAGAGGCCCCCAAAAGATCCCCAAGAGGCTCCCCAGAAGTCCCAAGAGACCCCCAAGAGGTCCCTCACAGACACCCAGGACGCTCCAAGTCTCCCCCTAAGAGCAAGTAAGAGACCCCCAAAACGCTGCAAGAGGCCTCTGAGAAGCCGTCAAGAGGCACCCCAAGAGATTCACGGAGGCATGCGACATCCAAGAGGCCTGTGGTCCGCACAGGCCCACACAAGGCCCCCGAGATATCCAGATGATGCGACGCTACCCCGTTCGGGGCAGCTTCGCTTTGCATCGTGTCTGGATGGGCTGGTGGGGATACGCGAAGTGTTGAGAACTGCCCCTCAAGCACTAGATCCACAAAAACAAATACACTCTTTCGCCCGTTGCTGGGAGCATACCACTTGCATACAACATACAAGTCTCTATCGTCCTGCATGCTCGCCTTCACTTCCGCGCGAGCCATCATCCCGCTCTCAATTCAACCCGCAAGTGCACACCCACAAGAACATCTCAGCCTGCTTCCATGCTGGCCCCCCACAAACACCCGCCCCAGCACGCGCTCCTTGAGAGCGACGTTTTTTTCGCTCTGCCCGTTTTGCATGGCCAATTTCTGCTTCGCCTTCAGTCGTATGAAGACCTCAGCCAGCAGTCGCCGATGCATGGCATAATAAGTCAAAGATCTATGATTGAAAACAGAGAGTCAACTGTAGCAACTTGCTGCCGCCCCCCCTCTCCTATACTGGATCGAATGGCACAACCAAGTTTCCCATTGACGCTGCCTTCTATCCGTTCCATGCGAGAACAAACTCGTCATGCTGCGTTTAGAAACGTTTTGCTCGATAGATTATAATTAGGTGCGGCTGTTGCAATCACATATCTCCGCGCAAGGGCGAAGCGCACCCAGACACACGATACTGGGGAAGTGTAAACAGATGGCCAGGTAATTCTTGGAAACCTGTTTGTCCATGTCCTGGGGCGCGCTCCACAAAGAGGCGTCTCTAGAGGCGCTCATGAACGGGCGCCAACGGACGTTTTTTGGGGTGACCGCGCGCCCTCCGCGACATCTCTCCGACATCGGCGGGGGACCTTCCCCGACATCCCTCCGACAACGCCCAGGACCTCCCCCGACATCACTTCGGCCGCGCCGCGGGCCCACATCGGGGGCGGTGCCCTCCCCGACATCACTCTGACATTAGCGGGGGACCTTCCCCGACATCCCTCCGACAACGCCCAGGACCTCCCCCGACACCACCTCGCCCGCGCCGCGGGCCCTCAGCGACATCTCGGGGGCGGTGCCGGGGCGATGCCGGGGCGGTGCCGGAGTGCTACTCGCACAGTCGGATGTCGAGCAGGGCAATGATCCCGAAAGGGTACGCGATGCATTGTAGAGCACGGCGTGGCATGGCGTAGAAGAGCACCGCAAAGCGTAGCATCAACCTTTCATTGCATTGCATGCCGTGGCATGGCACGGGAAATGACGCCAGCGCTGCAGCGGGAGCACGAATCGAAACGAACGGAAGCGCGGAAACGATGCCAGCGCTGCAGCGGGAGCACGATTCGGAACGAGCGTAAGCGCGGAAATGAGGCCAGCGCTGCAGCGGGAGCACGATTCGGAACGAGCGGGGCCCGAAAATGAGGCCGGCGCCTCAGCGAGAGCTGCATTTTGGGGAGAATAAAAAACGCAAGCGAAAACCCAACTCTGGGGAATCCTGTGCGTAAAAAACAGTACGCGGGGGGGGATACTTTCAAACCGTCATCAGGGGAAGAGGGAGAGTAATATTCATATTGAGCAATTGTGTAGGAGGAGCAGGAGGAGGAGAGGATGTCCCACGCCAGGGCCTCCTGTGCGGAGTCCGCGCGCCCCCCGCCCCCTCCCCCCCCCAGCAGAAGACTTGTTCACCGCCCTGGGGGGGGGGGGCCGCCGCCTCCTCGCCATCTCCCCGCCGCCTCCCCGCCGCTCCTCGCAATCGCTCCGACGTCGCCCCGACAACGCTGCGACACCGTCCCCGCCACCAACCCGGCATCACCCCGACTTCGAGAAGGTGCGGGGGTGGTGCCCGGGAGGTGTGGGAGGTGATGTGGGAATGATTTCGGTCGGGGAGGCATCGGGGTGATGTCGGGATATCGGGGCTGATGCCGGGGGCGCCTTGTCGGAACGTGGTCGTGCTGAAAACCCTGCCTCATGAAAGGCCCCCGAAAACCTTTTCGCTCCAGCGCACGTTACAATCAATGTTGTAGCCTGCGTAAATATGATGATGGCAGCTCGGCCTGAAAACATGAGGAGGTAAGCTATCCTGCCATGGCGTATGTGAAAGATCACCCTCGAAGCGACGAACCAAGTTGCGAAAATGCGCGGATACTCAGAGAATTGGAAAGAGCAGATCAATGTGTGCACCTGATGTTCCGAATGACAAAGAAACTGATTTACAAAGGCGGGGGACCCATAATGACACAACAACACGAGCTGAAATCGCAAACTTAGCGCACAACTATAACGTCCATGTGGGTTGCTTGCGTCGGAGATGTTGGCATCACACTGGGCTGACACACGCATCCTCTAGGTGGATCCTCGACTAGAGCTCTATCACGGAGGCTACGGCAAGGAAAAAACTGTTGAACACAAGCGCCCCGCAAACTACCAAAATCCGCCGACCCTGTCGGCGTGTGTGAAGGATTCTTCCGTTTGGGTCGTCGTCGTCGTCGCCGCCGCTCCCATCCCTTGACGTTTTCCTGTTTGAATCGTCGTCGTCGTCGTTGCCGTCGCCGCCCCCTTCTTGTCCGTGGGCCCTCCTCTAATCGGCCCAGCCAGAGGGATATCGAACAGCCTTGTGGTCAAGAATAAAGAAAACCACTTCCCTTTGATCCCCCCCCGCTGCGGGGTAGTCTCCCGCAGAGGGGGGGCGAGGGGGGAGAGGGGTATGGGGGGACTTACCAGGGAGGCCCCAGGACTGCGACCGAAAATGGAACAAGTTAGAACCAACTAGGCGGGAGCCCTACCACTTCGACGCCCCATCCCAATCACTTGGTACCAGTTCCAACCGCTGTGGAAGAGTTATGGAAAAGTTCTTCTGAGAACTTGCAATATTCCCCCAGGTCCCCCAGGATTCCTAAACAAATCTTCATGGCTCATGAGGATTCCTGCGGGATTCCTCGCGACCCCTGAAAATGCCTCACGTTTGCCTCGCGATTCCTGAGCACTCCATTGGGATTCCTCCGGAATTCTTTTTGAATCCTGGGGAAGGCCCGAAGAATTCCTCAACGATTCCAATGGATTTCAGCTGGATTCTGGACGGTTGCCTGTTGAATGTTCAGCGGACTCCTGATGGATTCCTCAAGGCTTCCTGGTGGTTTCCTGTCGGGTTCCTGAAGATTCCTGAAGATCCGGGATGGAATGGCGAAGATTCCTGAGGATTCCTGATATGTTCCTGATGGATTCTTGAAATGTTGCTGGAAGTGGGCGGGTCGCGCGGGTTTGCGGCAGCTGCGCCTGCAGGGCGGGCGGGGTTCCCCGCGGCCGAGTCAACAATTGTGCCTTTGCTAACTAAGTTCGACGGACAGAGAGGCCTGTGCGTGCCCAGTCACCAGCACAACCATGGGACGAGTCGTTCGGCGCTCGCCTCCTTTCGTGCGGGCGCGGGAAAATCCAAGCCCCCGGGGCCGGCCCGTCCAGTGGAAACGATCCAGATCCCGGAAGGCGGGGAATCCACTTGCCCATTGGGGCGGGGAGGGGGGCCGAACGGGTCATCTTGCCCCCCGCCGACACCGCTGGGTCGCTCGACCCCCGCCTCCCTTCCTGCGGGTGCGGGGTTATCCGAGCCCCGAAGGCGGCGTTTCCAGTGGAAACGTTGCGTGCCCCACGGGTTCACGGGGCCCCCGAACCCATGGGGGGGAGGAGGTGGCCGAAGGAGTCGCCGTGCCCCCTGCCGCCGCCGCCGAGTCCTTCGGTCCCCGCCCCCCTTCCCGCGACCGCGGGATACTCCACCCCCCCGAGGGCGACGCTTCCAATGGAAGCGTTTCGTGCCCTCGAGGCTGCGGGGGGCCCCCAAACCCATGGGGGGGAGAAGGTGGTCAGACGAGTCGCCTTGCCCCCCGCCGAGCCGCCGCCGAGTCGTTCGGCTACCGTTTCCGTTCCCGCGGGCACGGGGCTCCCCAAGCCCAGGGCGACACTTTCACCGGTGCGTTTCGCGCCCTCGGAAGCTCGGGGGCCCCCGAATCCATGGGGGGCGGGGGGGCCGAACGGGTCACGTTGCCCTCCCTGCGGCCGCCGAATCGCTCGGTCCCCGCTTCCCTTCTCGTGGGCGCTGGGGCCCTCGAGCCCCGAGGGCTGCGCTTCCAATGGGAGCGGTTCGCGCCCGCGGGGGCCCGGGGCGGGGCCGAGTCCTTGGGGGAAAGGGCGGGCCCAACGAGTCGCCGTGCCTTCCGCCGCCGCCGCTGCCGAGTCGTTCGGCCCCCGCTTCCTCCTTGCGAGCGCAAGTTTCTCCGAGGGCGACGCTTCCAATGGAAGCGCGTCGCGCCTTTGGGGTCACGCGGGGCCTCCGAACCCATTGGGGGGGAGGGGCGGGCCGAACGAATTGCCTTGCCTTCCGCCGCCGCCGCCGCCGAGTCGTTGCGAGCAGGTCACTTTGCCCTCCGCTGCCGCCACCGTGGAAGCGTTTCGCGCACTCGGGGGTCCGGAGAGCCCCTAAACCCATGGGGAGGGAGAGGGGGGCCGAACAGGTCACTTTGCCCCCCGATGTCGCCCGCTTCCTTTCCCGCGGGCGCGAGTTTTCCAAAGCACCCGAAGACGACGCTTCCAATAGAAGCGCGTCGCGCCCTCGGGGTCTCGAGGCGGGAAAGGCGTGCCGAACAAGTCACTTTGCCCTCCGCCGCAGCCGCCGAATCGCTCGGCCCCCGCGCCCCTTCCCGCGGCGCGGGTTTCTCCAAGCCCCCAAGGGTGACGCTGTCAATGGAAACGTTTCGCGCCCTCGGAAGCTCGGAGGGGTCCGAACCCACAGGGGGGGGGGGAAGGGAGCCGAACAAGCAACTTTGCCCCCCTTGCCGCCGCCGAGTCGCTCGGTATCCGCCTCAGTTCTTGCGGGCGCGGGATTCTCCACCTCCCCCGACGGCGACGCTTCCAATGGAAGCGTTTCGTGCTTGTGGGGACTCTGGGGGCCGAAACCCATGTAGGGGAGAGGGTGGCCGGACGAGTCGCCGTGCCCCCCACCGCCGCCGCCGAGTCGTTCGGTCTCCGCTTCCCCCCCCCCGCCGCCGAGTGGTCTGCCTGGTTCCCAAGTCCCCATTGAATGCATGGTGGAACAAACACATAAATTCGAAAAGTTCCTGCGGGAGGGTGTGATCAACGCAGTTCCTTTGGAATTTGTATTTGAAAAAACCATAGAAGATCCAACGTATCGGCGGAAGGCTGTGGTCGGCGCGTGTCGTATGACATTGCCAATGGAAAGCGCATGAGGTATGACAGGGTTCTGCGGAAGGCTGGGACCAACGACTTCCTGATTACACTTGCAACATCAAAACGAACAAATTCAGATAGAATTGTAATGCCTGAATGTTTCACAGCTCGTCTTCCAGTTGCGCACATAAAATCTGCTTTCTTGTTTCGCTTGACATTTCAAGTCGTCGTCTGTGCACGATGTTTCCATTCAGAAATGTCTGGATGTTGAATATTGCACTGGTCGCTCATGAACATCCCGCGGCTCGCACATGGAAGCCACGTGACGCGGAACTTTACGCAACTGTAGTGCGAAAGCAGTCAGGTTCGCATACGCCAAGCAGAAAAACCCATGAAGGCTAACGACCACTGTTTCAACGTAGCAGAGCTCCCAAATGTCATAAAGTAAACTAGAACCAACTCCAACCGGGGCACTCATGTTGTCTCCCAGAATGAGTGTCTACAATTTAAACGTGCGTTTTTATGTCTGAGTCGGCATCAAATTCTGTAAGCATCGAATTCTATGTGTCGACTCAAGATGGCTGATTGTAAGTGGTATCATGTGGCTTTTTTGGCCAGCTGAAAAGTGGCCAGGTCGGTTGTGATGGGTACCAATGGGTTGGGATTGGTCCGACATGTGGCTGTGGACCCCCCCTCCCCCCTCGGGAGAGAACACCTCTCCCTGGAGAAATGTCCATTTTCGATGTGTTGCCTCTCAGACGCCTCAAGCTCACTTGTACCGCGACTTGCTCCAAGATGGGTCTGAACTAGTCCAAGACGGCCAAAGATACTCTCAAGACGGCCTCAGAAGCTCCCAAGACGTCCCAAGAGGGCTCCGCCTCAAGAGGCGAAAATCAACGAATCTCATTTAATTCGTATATGCTTTGCGTCCTCGCCTTTTCGGGCGTCCTACGCTCCAAAACGGGCCAAAAATCCACCAAAACCGCCCCAAAACGTTCCAAGAGACTGCCGGAAATGCGCGAAAACAGCGCAAGACAGCCCCAAGACCGCCCAAGAGGCCACCCAGACAGCCGAACAGGGCCCCAAGGGGATCCCAAAAGACTCCCGAGAGGGGAACACCAACAGACAGTTCGAGCCTTCCGCCCCAAGGGGCCCCCAGGAGGCCCAAGGGAGAGCACTCCGAAGACAAGCCAGATATAAACAAAAACAGTGATTTTCATAAACAGGTTTGAATACGTATCCTCGTCGTCGCCGTCGCCATCGTCATCGTCGTCGTCCCCCTTCAGGGTCGGCGGCACCGGCCGCAAGGCCTTCGCAATCCGTTCCAAAACCACATAATCGGAGAAGAGGAGATGCGCGGGTCAGCGGCCTCGACAGTGAAAGCCTTCACCAACTCGAAGATGATGCACACGGACAATATGTAGAAGCTAATGAAGATGCTCTTCGAAAGAACTGCAGGGGTCAGAGACCACAGATGCTCCACAAACTACCTCCTGCTTCAAGCTGTACTCTCCTGGACTGCTCATTGGACTGTTCGTGGTGAAAGACCCCTCGGGGCCGTGATCGCCCCACCGTGAGCGCCACCACCCAGAAGAGCCTACGGACCAACGCGGTCGGGGGCGACAGGATCAGTCAGCATCGCATCGGCAAATCGGGTCGAATCGAAACGTGCACTGGATCGGGCTGCATGGGCACGGAACCGACATCGAACCGGACCGGCTGCGCCGGCATTCACCACAGCGCCATGCAAACATCGGGCCGCACTGGATCATCGGAAGCATGATGAGGGGAAGGACGAGGTCGGCAAGGACGAGCTCAATTGCCAGCCGACAGCTCTGGGGGGTACCTGTTCGCTTTCAAGACCTTGAGAAGTCATCGAACTCGAATCGGATCGGGCCAGCCGCACACGACATCGGATCGGATCGGATCGATCGGATCGACATGGTCGCGGGGTACGAAAGGGTAGGACAGCAAAGGGTAGGGTAGAGAATCAGCTGACGCAGCTGGCTTTCCTGGCGCCTCCTGGCGCTGGGAGGCACCCGTGTATCCAGGAATGGGCCTGGCGGCGGGGCGGGAACCAGCTGCAGGCAGCAGATTTTGTACCCCACCCTTCTGTCCAGCCCGTGGAGCGAGGAGAGATGTCCTCCTTGGAGGCGCGCATCCGACACGAACATATAGCATACCCACCTTGTAGTATACCGCTTCCCGAGCGGTATGGCCAGAAAGCGCCAGCCACCACGCATATGCTACAAGATTTCTCGGTGCGCGCGTCGCCCCTGGGGGGGCGGCGCACACGTAGTATCAATATGTTGGGGTCACGCCGAGAGGAGGCTCCGGCCACGCACGACCGCACGCAGTGCCGGCCGCAGGGGGGGGGGCGCTAGCCGATGCCCTGACCTTCCAGGAGGGCTCAAAAACAGCACCAGGGCCTCGGTGTCCAAAGTTCCAGTCGAGGTCCCAAGCAGCCCAGCTGGGTCTGCAGGTCTGGAGCGCCGCATACTTTTTGGCACTCTGGAGTGATGGGACTGGCTCCCAGCACCACCACCAGAAGCTGGAGGGGGGAAGGAGGAGGAGGAGGAGGAGGAGGACGAGGAGGAAGAGGACGAGGATGAAGAGGAGGAGGAGAAGGAGGACCCCCTCCCCCTCCAGCTGATGGTGGTGGTGGTGGGAAACAGGCCCCTCATGGAGGGTCTCAGGGCCGGTGGGGCCCCGGCCGCTTGCCACGGAGGGGCACACGCGGCGCCGCGGGGCGTCGGGGCTCTGGTGGAGAGGGGCCATTGGAGGCCCTGCGGCGCCAGGCCCGAGGCCGGCTCCAGCAGCGGGCGTTCGC